GAGAGAGAGAGAGAGAGAGAGAGAGAGAGAGACAGACAGACAGACAGAGTGATGAAGACAGATGAAGATAGATAATCTCTTTTGATAATTACAAATCAAACCGATTTTGAATATTAAAGAACATTTTGCAACACCTCGTTCAAACAGCAGACGGAAATTTTCTCGCCGCCAAACACCCTAAACATTGCATCATATTGCGAATACACTAAAGCCATTATACGGTATACATGATAGAGCTCCCTCCTCGCTGTCTCTCTCGAAAGACCAAACGAAATTCCCGGACGATCAAGAGCCTAAGAATAATTTCGCACGATTTCGCACGCGCCAAACAAATGCAGCGATGTTTTGCGTCGCGGCGACATGTTGCACCTCCGCCGTTGCTATACCGCCGGGTCCGCCATCGTCAGCCTGTATTGATAAATTCCCCGTGCATTTGCTCAGTCCCAACAGGAACACCGAACGCCTTACGTGCCTAAACAAATCTTCTGTACTCGTCATAAGTGCGGGAACATTTCCACAGCCTGACACGGTCGACATTTCTTTTTTTAAAGAGGGAACGTGATTGATTTTGTGAGCTAGCGTCGCCGATCCCAAAAGAGTCGTGTCGCGGGTGAGATAGAAAACGTTCAGGATCGCCTCGGACGGGGACACCGACTTCGTTAACGTGAGGAAGGCGATGCCGGTGGAGCCCCTGGAGAATGACTGTTTCCTGCTCATTTCAGGTAAAATCGAGGAGAGAGAGAGAGAGAGAGAGAGAGAGAGAGAGAGAGAGAGAGAGAGAGAGAGAGAGAGAGAGAGAGAGAGAGAGAGAGAGAGAGAGAGAGAGAGAGAGAGAGAGAGCGCTTCTTCGTCGTAAGAGAAGGAGGAGGTCAAGTGGATGTTTTTATTCTTTGAATCTTTGTCTTCGCGAATAATGAATAAGGGATGATTCCCAGGATGTGGGTTTTGGCATTTCACTTATATTATGGAAGTGCGTGGCATTGATTTATATAAGTACTCGTCGATGAGCCTGTAAAAGTTGGATGTTCTTGGAGTCAATATATACTAAAAACAAAACACGTGGAATGATATAGTTTAATTTATAATACCATCCTATAGGTACGATTTTTTCTCATACGTAGTACGATTATTATAAATCCATTAGGTTTCTGTATCTGATCACGAATCAATTTTTAATCGGTCAGTATTTATTTCATAACAGATACTTAATTTCTGATCTCCTCCTCTTCCTCTCCCTTTCAGATATTTTTTTGCAAATACATTTGTAGCATTTTTTCTAATCTCAAGTAACAGTACAGTAACAAACAAATGCACGCAACATTATTATTTAGTTTATTTGTTTAAATGCTTTGTTTTTCTCCTTTTAAACGCACTGACTTTCTAAACGCGACTTGGAGAAACTGAAGCCATCCGAAGCCATCTAAAGAGCATCGCCCTTTCTCCCTCCTTCCCCTCCTGCAGACGACTTCGAGTTAGTGATCGAGGAAGAGGAGGACGGCTGGTGCCACGTCGTCCCCAACGCCAGCGCCGCCTTCGAAGCCACTCCTCCAGAAGACCTCCCTCTTGCCTCCGCTTCTTCGTCGTCGCCGCCTCCGCCTAAGACTGACTTGTCCCCCTCACGCCGGAAGAATGAGGACCTCTTCTTCCTCGACGGCCACTATGAGACTGCTGTACCGGACGATAATGAGGGAGCGAAAGCCGGTGCTGCAGACGTACGCGTTGTAGAGGACGTCGACATCCAGGAGGTCGAGGTCGAGGAGGAGGCAGACGCAGCCAGTGAGGTCGAGGAGGATTATGAGGAGTTCTGGGAGGCTGACGAGCTGGTGGACGCTTACTGCTTGAACTACGGGCATGACGACGTGATTGACAAAGCTGCTGAGGTAGGGCGGGCGCTGGTTGACCTGACTGTCGGACTGTGGGCGTGGTGAGGGAAACTCATGCTTTTCCAGAGGAACATGAAACGTCGCACACGCACGCACACACAATTAACTCTACCAACCATCACCGCCTTCGGCCTTTTCCCCCTCCATCTTCCACACCTTTGGTCATCACACACACCACACACACACACACACACTACACACACACACACACACACACACTTCCACACCCACCATACACCGACTAAACATGCACACACCTCTCCCTATCCCGTCGACCTACCCGGCTATCTCACACCACCTACACCACACATACCCCACTATCCCCACACCACACACAACCACACACACGGAGTCCCCTCCTCCCCACACTACACACACACAATCATCACACCACAACACCAGCACACACGACACAGCACATCACACAACACACACATACAACACACATACACATAATATATCGTATGCATGCAATGTGCAATTATATAAGTATATAAATATTCATTAACCCTACCCTACTACCTGAGTTTAACTATATTACGCCTATTATATTGTGTGTGAATGGTGTGTGCTGTCGTGTTGCTGTCAGGGTGTGTGTCGTGTTGTGTGTGTGGTCG